TTGTTCACCTCGCACCAAGTCCCGAACCTGGTAATTAGGGTCGATTGGCTGGACCCAACACTCCCTCTATGCAGGACGCAACTTTCTCCAGAACCTTTCTTAAAAATGGAAGCGTGGAGATGTTCTAAAGTTGTCGAAAGCAGCTGGATGGAGAAGGCCTCCTAATCAGGGGGGACACCACAGCCCCCTTCCTCCTAACCCCATGGAAATAGCACCCTTTCTCTCCTCTTTTCATGAGGTACTGCGTTGCACATCACATCCACCAGGGGCCCCCTCTGCAAAGAGAGGAGAGCACCATGCGCCTCAGAGTTGGGCCACTGGAGGGCGACGGCCACAAGTGGCTTTCCAGTGGAGGGTGAGAAAAGGAGTGACATCACTACCTCTTGCCTCTCTAGGAAGGTGCACGCTCTGTCTTTAACCCTTTGAGCTTCACAGGAGGTAAAAGGCTGCATGAAAGTCTTGCAGGGAAGGGATCCACAGGAAGCCCTGGGTGAGCAGGGCCTTCTTCCCGTGCAAAGGGAGGCAGAGGGTTCAATCTTCTGGGTCCTGGGGGTGGGTGAGCCTGAATCCCATGTTCCTCAACAACCCCTTTCGATGCACATAACAGGCAGGGGGGAAGCAGAGCTCTACATCAGCCGTGCTGCCCCCAGGAACAAATCCAGGATCCCCAGGAAAGAGGGTGGGATCTGGAGGAGCCCTTCACGCCCCATTTCCTGGGAAAAACCTTGGAGAGGGGGAGAGTTTGCATTGCAAATCTCCAGCAGGAAAGAAGAAAAGCCTTGCGAGGAAGGAGGTGCCCGAGATTGTGCCTCCACTCTCACCACGCGCTGATGAGGCTGAAATAGTGCTGGATCCTCTGCAGTTCAACATGTCTTGGAGGTGAGTGAACCAGGACAGCCTCTTAAACTTCCTTCCTGCAAGCCCTGTGCTTTGTGTGAACGCGGCCCCTGTGCTTGGGGGATCTGTTTGGGGTTCGGGCATGTTGTCCGAACCTGCCTGGGTGTCCTGGTGTGACTTGGCTCTTAAAAGCAAACCCTGAAGAAAGGGAACTAGAGCATCCCAAGCCAGTGTCATTTCACTAGAATTGCATTTTACCTGAATTTAACTTTGGTGTTTTGTTAACCTGTTTGGGGTTTGGCATGTTGTGTGAATCCTGCTTGTAGGGGAACATAGATTAAGGGTTTTAAAATGCCAGCCCTTCCTTCTGAGAAAAAGAAAAGGAAAAGCTCCAAAATGCATATATTGGGCATTCCAAGTACTTGATGGAAGCCAATTCCCTATTTTGCACCACACACACACACACACAATACACACACAAGCACATAAACAAAGGATTGTTGGCCACAAAGGCTGGCAGATTCGTTTACCGGCAGGCAACAGCAGCCAGTCAGGGGAGGTCTCCTGGTCACTCTGTTGAAGCGCTTCGGCAAAGAGGTCCCGTCTCTCCAAGGAGAGGAGCCTCGCGCGCAGATTTCTGTCAAATGGTCTGCATTTCACGGATGGGGAAGTAGCTATAGGGGAAATTGAATCGCTTGCATTTT